TTTTTAAGAGGGAGCGTCACTGAGTTTAAATAGGTTTTGTGTTGCAATGTGAAACAGACAAGGAGGGTGACACCTCTGCACCGCCCTTAGAAAAACGCAGCTGCTTTGTCCCTTTGGTTATTGAAGGTGTTGCTATTCCAGGCATGTACTCTTGGGCAGGGATTTTTAATCTCTTAGGGAGGAGTTAGAACACAGTCTTGTAAAATTTAGCGCTCTGAAATGGAAATGCCAGTTCCATCTCTTTGTTTTTAGCTTTCTCACAGTAACGTCTGAAGATGGCAAATGATGAAAACTAAAATAATAATGAATTAATAAACTAAACAAAGACCAGCTTTATCTCACTTATTTTCTCAGGACATCACCTGGGCAGAATACAATCTTTGTACTGTTTGCTTTTATAATCCTGGTAATGCTCAGATACCATGGGGATGGGCACGTTATAAATGCATAGATAGGCAGAGACCACAAATTGGCTGAAGGTTTGAAAATAGCTGCTTGTTTTGAATTCAGTTGTGCTATATTTGTGCATTATAAGCTGGACTCTGTTTTTGTCTTCCAATAGCTCTATTCAGCAATAGATACTTGGTTGAAAATTAGATTAGGAATACAGTATTTTGTGTTCATATCCATTCATTTCTCTCCCTGCAAGGAAATAACCTCACCTATTGTCCAGATCTTAACTGTGACATAATTATAAAGCTTTTCCTGTGCATAATTAAGCTTGTTGCTTCTTGATTTGCTCCTCTGAGCTGATAAGGATAAGGAGCCCTACCTTCTTTTTGACATCCTTTTAGACAGGGGTTACTGTCTTCCATTCTCTCTAAACTGTACATTTCTATTTTTTAAAATCCCTCACACAGGTTTAATTTTCAAACCGTCATCACTGTTGCTCCCCTTCTATGAAATTGCTCAAATTAGTCAAATTAAAATATTGCTCAAAATAAACAAGAGTGCACAAAGGTGTAAAGACCTAGCACTAGAGAAGAGACAATAAGTGCTCCACATCTGCTGTCCTCCAGCTGCCGTATTATTAGAACCATCTCAGCAAAACCCATTGGAAGCCTGTGAATGCCTATCTTGTCCACTTCCAGACACTTCCTGATTTAGTACCGGTGATATGTCACATTCAGTACCATCCCAGGGTAAAGTTTCCTTAAATAAATGTCCATATTATTAAAAATGGATAACAACCCAACCAGGGGATGGAGAGAAGGGAATATACCAGCCTGCTGCATGGCTTCTTGCATATGGGAGTTAAATATCTGCATGTTTTCAGCTTGGTTTGTCCCTTATCCGCTGTACATAGACCACTGTGTACAAAGAGGGATGATGTCACTGATGAGTCCTCCACCATGATAGAATATAGTACTGCAGAGGGATGGTCAGAAGAGGCTTAGTGGAGATGCCCCTGTTTCCACGCCATTTCTACTGTCACTCCTCAGAATAAGCCCTGTCACTTCCCATCCTGAATAGCCTTTAAAAATGGAATTTCCTCCCATGGGATGATGGTTCAAAGTATTAGCTCTTTACCTCTCTGATATGGAGGTAATCTGTGGGCTTCAGGTAATCTAATTCATCATTAGTAAACTTCTCTTTTGATTTGTGTTTTATCATTTATTGTTTTGCTTATTATTTTCAACATCATTTGCTGCATTCAGGAGGAAGGCTAACAATAAGGGATGATCTGACATTTTGATCTGGGAGTGGCCAGCTCTTGTAAGACTGTGTCAGAACTCCTCTCCGGAAAATTAAGTCCTCTCCTAAGAGTGTGTCTCTGGGAGGGCACCAGCCTCAGCCACCTGCGGTCCAAAGTGGCTGGATTTTTCCCAGGGCTGGGCAGGTGTGTCACTGCCCCTGTGACTGTTTTGCATTGCAACAAGAAACCCATTTTCACTCACAGAACCTTTCTCATCAGCAAAAGGATTTGAATGTCTGCTGTTACCAGTACAGCATGTTTAAGAGAATTTATTCTCATCTGTTAACCAGCTCGTCCTCAACTAGATGCATCTGCAGGGCTGTTAATCCTTTTTGTTGGCTCCAATCCCCACCGAAAAACTACATCAATGTACACTGTTAATTGCAATATTATCAACAAGCATGTATTTAACACTTGTGGCTGTCTACATCACATGCGTACCACACTATGCATCGCAATAATTCTCTGCTGAGGAGAGAGGCCTAAAGATTGGACTAGCAGAGGCATTTTGAGTCAGGAGAAGCAAGGGGCATCAACAGAACTGTCTGGGGCCCAGGAATGAAATAGCACTGCTGTTGCATACAACGTTCGCAATGGGCAAGCAAAGCTGTGTGGGGATCCAAAAGTGACCTATTAAAAGGTACAACCGGTTGAGGGGGTTTGTCCCGGGCCCCACACCCCCCAGGGATGGCCCCGGCAGTGGTCCCCACCGTGGGGCTATGTGGGGCGCATAGCCCCGGCTCCAGCCCCAGCCACGGCTGCTGACAGCTGAAACCGAAGAAGTCACGGAGGTCTGGTAGAGTCATGGAATCTGTGACTGCCGTGACCTCCGTGACTAAATTGTAGCCTTTCCAATAATTCACCTAGCTAATTGTGAATGCCCTGCTCAGTGGTGTGCGGTGGAAGAGATTCTTTCTTGCCCTCTGCTGAGCAGCTCTCACCTTGCAGCAGGAAGTTTAGTTACTTGTATCTGTGCATGTATAAGGACAAATATTGTTGGCCAAATTTTTTTTAAAACCAGCTAGAGCAGTGCTTCTCAAGCTTTTTGATACTGGGGACTGGCTTGCTGCCTTCCTAAACTGTGTCAGGGAAATCTGAGAGACCAGCGCCGGTCTACGGACCAGTTGTTGAGAAACACTGAGCTAGAGTACCTGAGTGTTTGACCGCCTGCACTGCAGTGAATTCCACAGGCTGACTTTGTCTGTGCTGTGTGCGTGCAAGGCTGTACAGTGCTGATGTTCTGCTGAGTACAACGCCTCTGTGGGATTCTATATGAACTGCAGGTATGAGGATATGGAGGCACAAGTATTGTGATTACCCCACAGCCGGTCTGTAATCAGTGTCCCAGTTATGTCTGTACCAGACATGGAGAAAGCAGAACCAAACCAATACAGCCACCACAGGTAAAGATGTGAATTGTGTGATTATTAATTCTTGGGGTCTGAGTCTCTCCTGTCCTTTGCATGTTGTGGAATCATCTAGACCTGGCCAAAGTGTGTGCAGTGGGCGTAAAGCTGAATTCTCCACTCACTCACACCAGTAGTAGCATCTTACAGTCTCTTTATTGTAGCTTTGCGCAGGGATGGATGACCATTCACGGGGCAAGGCAGTGGAGAATCAGGCCCATGTGCTCCACCACCTACTATTTTCTTATGTTGGTTGGTTGTGGCTACAGGAGCTGAAACTGGAATTCAATTCATGAACTAAGAATGAGTGAAAACAAAACAATTCATTTGTTACAAGGACACATGGGAATCCATTTGCATCAGCCTTTGTATGAAAGGCCAGCTACATGCTATCTTAGACAAACTGTTGCCTGGTAATTAGGATTAGTAAATAAGACCTTTTTCTGTGGTGCAGACAACAGGAAAGGTTGAAGTTAATGGGAATTGTGGGTGCTAAGCAGCTCTTAGGGTTATTTTTTTCACCTATTGGCTTTACAAACAGCATTGTCACTGACTGTCTGTAGAACAAATAAAAGTCTGTGCTGAAGAGATGCCTAAATGATCAGAGGGCAGCATTTTGTAGGAAATTGGTAGGTATCTTTCTCATTTCAATGTATAGATGAGAAAGACAGAGTTCTTGTTTTACTCTATAACTTCAGATTAATGGTCCTTTGTTATGGTATTTTACATATAGATACGCTTCTGTTTAGCTACTACTACTACTCATAATAATTTTTTAAAAAGCAAAATGTCCTAGGATAATTACACTTTGGAAAGGATTCCCTAACAGAGGGTCAGATCTCAGTTGCACTACTGAAAATCAGAAGTAATTCCACTGAAATCAATTATGTATAACCAGCATAAGATCAGAATTAAGCCCACTATGCTTTGTATGTTCTGTACTCTTCATTCTCTTTAGGGTAAATACAATGTGGCAATCAATTCCTGGCTGGCAGCCTACTGAACTGTAAATGAGTTATGATTGCGTGGGGTAAAGCAAAGGTGGAGACAGACTTTCAAATATCCCCAGAGCCTTGAAATTCTTACACCTGTCTGTTGCCTATGTCTCCTGCACCCCTCTGATCTTGGCTGTGATATCCACCTCCTGCTCAATGAGAGAGGATCACAGGGAGCTGAGGAAACTTCCCTTTTCAGGGGCTGTTTCTGAGTGACTTAGAAGCTCCATGGAAAATCACAGCCTGCCCCACATTTTGAGTTCTCTTTTTTGCATCAGGTCATTTTGTTTGGTCAAATTTTCAACTCCAAGAATAAATAACTGCATATGGAACCATACCTAAGCACCACGGAACTTTGGGAGTTATTTGAATCTGGAATTAGAACATCATAGCTTGCCACCGTGGGCAGAACAAAAACCCTGGTTCTGAACACTGGGATGGAGAGCGTTCATTTCTGGATCTCAAATTTATGGCTGAGACACATCGCTATAAAGATCTAGATGTAAGTGATAATAGTGGCTTCCTATTGTCTTGTTCCAGAAATGCTGAGCTGTACCTCCATTGTGTATTCCTGCTGGGATGAGGGATGGCACAGCAGGAGTATTAGCTCATGGAACTGTGGGGTTTCCCAGAGTGTCAGTCACTCTTTCTTTGGGCTTGGTAAGTATCAATTTCTCAAGGAAACAATTAATTCTATGACCAGATTTACAGGAACAACCTCTCCAGGAAGAGTATCTGCAAACAGTGAGGTGCATACACTGGGTATATTGTGTCCAAGCCACTCCTTCCACAGCTCACTCCTTCCCAGACTCTGCTCTCTGTCTGCAACAGCTCTGAGCACCTTCTCCGGGGGATGTGACTTCGGGTCGGTCTTTGGCTCTGAAATCAGCAACAGCTGTAATAGGGGAGCAGTTTTTTGGAGCAAATCACAGCTCAAGAAAGAGCATCAGCTTTGCTTTGTATCCATACAAGTGAATCTAAAGTTACATATTATACAAGAGAGAGGGGGACGACAAGGGTTTATCATTAACCTGAAGTCTGTGAGAGACATTATAAGGAGAGGAGAAGAAGAAGAAGGAAAGGTGCCGGAGAAGCAGGCAGGATGGACTCCTCTGAAAAAATCAATAACCCTGCTGACATCTCAGTCATAGTCATCTATTTTGTGGTAGTCCTAGCAGTGGGAGTATGGGTATGTCTGGATCTTCCTTTCTTAATGAAAGTGTGGTTTATTCGGTTTTAAGAAAATGGCTTCATAAATTAAAACTACAATTGTGTAAATTGCCTGCTGCTTAACTGGGGGATGGGCTGAAAGTTGGCAGGATGGGGATTAAGTTGGGCTTCAGTGGGGCAGTAGGATACCAGGGTATGAGATCTGAATTGGAGGTGAAGATGATGAGATGGTAGTGGAGGAGAGGATAGATGGGGCTGGGATGAAGAAGGGATATGGATGGGGAAGGGACTATAGGAGAGGGCCAATGGATGGAGATCAGGATAATGGTGAAGTGGACATTTTTAGCCGATTAGAGTGGGGACCTGTAAGGAACAGAGTGGGGGTGAAAATGGGAATGGGATGGTAGCAGTGGTGAGTGGGGATGGACTTTGGGGTGCTGGAGCAGAGGAGCCTGCAAATGGGAATTTGTGATGGAGTAGTAGTTGGGGTGAAGTGTGAGAGGTGGGGTAAATGGGGATTGCAGTGGGGTTGATTGTGGTAGGAATGGGGGGCGAGTACTGGACTGAGTTGTAAATGGGTATGGATTGGAATAGAGCTAAAGGTGGAGGAGAGATGGTAATGGAGTGGGAGACGGGGATTGCTGCAGGATGGATATGAAATGGACGAGAGCACAGACACGGTCTGGACACAAGAGAATGCCAGCTTTTCATCAGTAAGACTTCACTGCAGAGAGCAGGTGCATGTAGACTCTGAGGAGGAACAAATCTCAGTGAGGACAAATGCTGGTGTTCGGGCCTTTCCTGTTTAAAGCCCAGATAGGATTGTGCCTCCTCCTGAAGCATGCTGATGATGCAGAGGGAAGTACGGAGACTGCAGCCTTAGAAAGAGAAGAATTATTTTGCACTTAGTGGGTGAAAGGCAGATATTGTCCTGTTAGAATAAGTCTTGAGTCTGCAGGGTTCAAAGGAAAAGGGCAGATAGTGTTTGTACTGATGTTACCTTAGTGGAAAACACTAGTGTGTCACTTGGTTGAAGAGCTGAGATCCCTTTCAGGAACAGAGTCTGTGTATTCTATCTGAGGAGAAATCAGAGACTGTCCTTGGGGAAAATGCTGCTAGTCCCTTGAGGAAAGAGCCAGCAGTTACCCAGAATGAATCAGGGAAACCTGCCCCTCGGTGACCGACCTGTGCACTCCCCTGAAATAACCCAGGAGTCCATGCCATAGAGCAGAGCAGCAGCTGCAGACAAAATCTTCCCCACTAGCAGCCTGTCAGACTTTTGAAAAGTGATTAACTTTTGAGGCCAATGAACTAGTTAAAGTTTGTTCAGCACTTAGAAGATGTGAAGTACCTGTACCTCTGGCCGAGTGTATTGGAGGCCAAGGGTTGGATTGTACCAGAGAGGCTGTCCATTTATTTTCCGTCCCATAGAAGCAAAACACAATTGAGGACCCATACCTTTCATGAGAGCACTGCTTCTTCCTAGCGCACCCTGAGGTGCAAGCAACCTCAGCTGAGCAGGGAAGAATGGGGAGGAGGCCCCCTCATCAGCCCATTCTAGCCAGCCAAGCTGTCCATTGACTCAGAAGGGTGCAGCATGCTCTCCTCTAAGGAGTGTTGTGGCAGAAACACTTCCGTTGCATCTTGGGGAGCTCTGGGAGGGAACCAGGCTTGTGCCTTAAAGGTACAATCTGACCTGAAGTGTGATTATTGTAATTTATTATTGACTGTAATTCTTTGTAACATAAACTCCTGGGGCAGAAGAGGGCTGGCAGGTGGTATGTCAGGCACTGGAGCATTGAAGTTTCTAGTTCTGAATAGTTTCTAAGAAGTTAAATGTTAAATGTGCCTCTTGATTCAACTATTGTATGTAGTGAAACATGCAGGACAGTGGGGTGGGAGGAGGTATTGTTTCATATTCTCTGTGTGTATATAAAGTCTGCTGCAGTTTCCACGGTATGCATCCGATGAAGTGAGCTGTAGCTCACGAAAGCTCATGCTCAAATAAATTGGTTAGTCTCTAAGGTGCCACAAGTACTCCCTTTCTTTTTGCGAATACAGACTAACACGGCTGTTACTCTGAAACATGCCCCTGTTTGTTTGTTTTCTTGCTTCTATATTAGGATCAATGATCTGGCTCACTTTTTCTCACACCCTCTCTGGGCCCGATCCAAAGGATCATTGTTTGCAAAGGGTTTTGGATCAGGCCCTGTGAAAAATGTGATGTAAACTTCCCATAAAGTCACTCCTGACATATAAAATGAGAGTGAGGAAAGTAATTCTTAACTGGCTACTCTGTGGAAGTGAAGAAAGGCTAAAAAGTGAAGTGCGGGTACCTTGATGATCTTATCAGAACAGGAAAGGTTAAATTGCCATGCAAGTAGATTCCTGCAGGGAAACTCTGGACCACACTAGTATTGAGTAAGAAAGCTAGGTATAAACAACGAGGAGTCCTTGTGGCACCTTAGAGACTAACACATTTATTTGGGCATGAGCTTTCGTGGGCTAAAACCCCAAATAAATGTGTTAGTCTCTAAGGTGCCACAAGGACTCCTCATTTTTGCTGATACAGACTAACACAGCTACCACTCTGGAAGCTAGGTATGACATTTCTAGTGCATGAACATAAAACTCTCTACATCAGCAGTTTTGAGGCCTGCTCACCTTCAGGAGTGCTCCCATGAGTGACAGTTTGCAGGCAAGGCCCTTGGTTAGTGATGCCTTTCTTGTGTTTTATTTTTATTGTATAGTTCATTGTATTTTAATATGTGCAGTGTTTAGATTTGGGTTTTTCAGGCTTCGTGTAATGAAAGTTGAAGCAATAAAGCTTGAATGGTTAATTTATAGATTGATATAAGAATCATTGCTCAGTCATTGTCAGGTCATATTATTCCCTTCAAAATCTTTCTCCCTTGGCCATTTTTGATCATTACGTTAATTTTTCTTTCTCATCACTGCCCTGGCTGTTGATGCCATCAGGCTAAATTTGGCTTATTAGAGCTGAAAATTTTAACCATTTTTTTTTTTTTATCAGGCCATGTTCTCAACAAACCGCGGGACTGTCGGTGGATTCTTCCTAGCTGGACGGAGCATGGTGTGGTGGCCGGTAAGTGCAATACACACACAAAGGAATTGTACTTTCACTCCACACCACACACAATGTTTGGCTGCTCATCACTTTATCACGTCGGCATTTTGTTGAATGCCGTGTACTTACTATTTGCTCCGGACCCACCGAAGTTTTCCACTGAGGGCCTGACTCATGTGAGGTGATTGCTGTTAGGTACAAGGTACAGAAAGGAATTGATTTGTAGGTGTGGTTTCTGTGGTGCTGCTGTATTGCCTTCATGTGGCTGCGTAATCTAGTCCTTTGTTGTAACATTGCAAGGAGAGAACCCTGGAATGTTCATAATAAATTACTGATAACAAGTCAGAGTTTACGTTTATAATAATAGTACTTAGCACTTATATAGCACATTTTAAGCTGTATATCTAAAAATGCTTTACAGAGGAGATAAGTATCATTATCCCCGTTTTAAGATGGGGAAACTGAGTCACAGACAGAAGTGACTTGCCTAAGGTCAGTGGAAGGGCTGAGAGTAGAACCCAAGTCACCTGAGTTAGTCCAGTGCTCTCTCCATTAGGTCATCCTTTCTCTAGTGAATGAATCTTCCTGGCAAAGCAGAAAACCTTCTAGACAAATGTGATGCATTGTCTAGGTGTCACTAATATGGTACTTTCATGGTTATCTTTGCAGTTCAGCTTGGAAGGAAGACTTCAGTGATTTGTTATAATAACTACCTGATCCTGCAATTGGACCCATGGGGCAGGACCTTTGCACTTGAGAGGAATTTGATGCCGGGCTCTGTCCATGTGAATCCAATGACATGATTGGGGCCTTAGAGAACTAAATAAATATTTACTGACTGTAAGAATTTTCAAAACAGCTTTCAGAAATCCCTGCCACTTTTTCAGTGTCTCCATTCAGTATTGCCTGAATTGGGGAGGAGTTGGGGCTGCCATTTTAATGATAAAAGCATTGTATTTCCCAGCAGGAGGAGGATCTCATGAGTAGATTAGGCCTGAGAAAATTCAGGTGCTAATAGAAACCATTGTGAAATAGAGAATCTCAAAGTTATTTTAAGGTAAACTTTGTTTTGTTTAATCAATGGAGTGACACTGCCATGAAAATGGATAACATAGTGGTAAGTCAGGACCCGTGACTGAGTGACTGTAAATGCACTAGGCCTGATCCTCTGCTGTCTTGCACCTTGTGTAATTCTTTATACCTGTGAATAGTGAGTATAAAACAACCTTCAGGTGCAAATGACGACACAAGGTGCAAGGCAGCAGGGGAATCCAGCCCAGTGTCTACAAGCGCAAAAACACCATGGGTCAGACCCTCAGGCCTAGGTGAGCCCCTTTGCACTGCTTTAAAGAACAAAGGGGACTTGAAACTTCCCTAAAGGGGCAGCTGGGAATTCCCCTGACACAGGGGAGTCCCCCAGAGTCATAAAGCAAGGTAGCCAGCTTTACATTGCCTAAGCCCCTTGTCCATGTCGGAGGCCAGAAGGGATGATCCTGTACTGCCAGAATTGTCTCTAGGATTAACATTTGCTTAGCTATCTTTGCCTCCCTGCTACACTGTGAGCTCAGTGCAGCTGAGGATCTACATTCCTGATTACATTCTCATTAATCCTTCACTTTAGAACACCTACATACCTCCCTGTGACGCAATAGGAAATCTCTTCCTCTCCACCCTGGCAGCACCAAAGCAAAAGACGTGGCAAGCTCTCAAATCCCTAGTTAAACACTTACATTAACAATACTATTCTGGAGGGCTACTCTGCTCAAGGGAATGTGCACTTTCCCTGGTTTCAGAGTCTGGGTGGGGGTTGAGCCTCCCGGGGGGGGGGGGAAATAACATTAAAAGTTCAAAAAAAGCAGGAATTACCTGCTTCGTGCTGCGACAGCTAATGCAATATGTAATATTTTAGAAAAAGTGCCACTTCCTGGCTTCACCCTGGGGCAGTGCCATGTGTGATTATAATCATGTGAGCATGTTCCAGGGAAACCTGGATGACTTATTTCCCAAGTCTGTAGATGTGGATGTTGCTTTATAAATGGACCCTTCCCACCATAGTATATTAGTTCCTTTGGACTTGCTTACATGATTCATTGCTTTCTGCAATAGATAATAAAAGAAAATATATTTCTAATAACCTAGTATAGAAATTAAATTTCCATTGGATTAGTTTCATTCTTCAGTTATGCTGTTCCCTGCTATACCAAGCAGCTACAGGCATAGGTTGAAGATTAAGAAAAGAAACAAGGATGGTGTTTTTTCCCTGTTCTTTGTTGATTCCACATTCATGGAAGTTTCTAGTTGTGGCTTCTCCAGGACTACTTCCTGATAGGAACAATAATATGAATCTGTTAATTTTAATGGCGCAGCTGTGGTCTAGGAGGCTAGATGAGGGGCTATATGCAAAGTAGTTGTAGCCGGGTCAGTCACAGTGTTACCAATAAAATAAAAACCAGTAGGATCTTATTAAAAGGGAAAAGGCAAAATACCACATTTATTGTGAATACAGAAAGAATCATAGTGAGCAGTTAGTTATAGCTATAACATTCCATTCAATCTCATATTTATTCACACATTAATTCATACAAACACACAAACAGTTTCTGCAAGGTTGTTATAGTTACCAGCCTCAGAGTTGCTCATGCCAAGCCACTGGCCAGGTGGCCTGGACATCAGGAGGGAGCAGGGCCTCATCAGATACACATCTGATGCTCCTGGAAGTTGGTTTGAAGAATCAGACCCCAAAGTTCTCACTTTCCAGAGTCCAGTTTTATAGGAATTTCTTCCTATGTCAGTCTATGGGAATTGCTTCATCATGCTGTTGCTGAATCAATCGGCAGATGTCACATTCCTGACGGCTCCGTGCTGCCAGATGTTATCTTGTTCTTTGGTTCTCCCATTCTTGAGGCTGTTGGGTGGATTCCAGTCTGCCCTCCGGGGGGGTGGGGGGTGGGTCCTCTGGTTATTTCCACTTGACGCCTTCTTCAGCCGATGGACACTGGATTCTTAGGCTGGCACCTCCCTGATTGTTCAGTTATTATCCACACCAAACATCCATCCACATACATCCTCTATCTCTATTTTAATCACAATTGTTAACAAAGTGAGATGAATACAACAAAAGGGCGGGGAGTCTCTGGGTGCTGTTTCTGTTGTTACAGAGTATTGCTTTGAGTCTCTGTGTGAGTAGTTGTTGTTACAAAGAATTGCTTTGAAAACAGACTCTGTCTTAGAATGTACTAGCACAATTAGCAGCTTGCAAGTTTCACACATAGAGGGAGAGAAACAGTACCAAAACCCAAGAGACTTCTTAATTAGTAATACCCTGGAATTTAAACTATGGGGAATCAAACTCATTTGTGATTTTAATACAGAACTTCTTTAATATCCAACAACAGGATATTAGAGAGACAAGATGGGTGAAGTATCAGGGGGTAGCCATGTTAGTTTGTATCCACAAAAACAACAAGGAGTCCGGTGGCACCTTAAAGACCAACAGATTTATTTGTGCATAAGCTTTCGTGGGTAAAAACCCCCACTTCTTTAAGGTGCCACTAGACTCCTTGTTGTTAAGATGGGTGAAGTAATAACTTTTATTGATAATATCTTTTATGTTATTACCTCACCCACCTTGTGTCTCTAGATGAGGGGCTGGCAGTCAGGTGAACTGGAATGTAATCTGGCATCTGACATTGACTTGCTTGTGTGAGTGGACAAGTCACTTTCTCCTCTGTGTCTAGTTTCTCTAACTGTAAAGGGGGATAATGCAGTTGAATTAGGCAAAACCTGCCCACTTTTGGCTCATATGTTTGGCTCAAAAATTGACTTTCATGGGAATTGAGGATGGTTGGCATTTACCAGGATGAGGCACAGAGTGTGCACTGGTTAGCTGTTCCATCCAGTCTGTGGGCCCAATTCATCCTTTAGTATTGCTCCCCTTAAGTCAGCAGTGCCAGAGATTAATTGGATTCAATAGCTCCAATAATTAATGAGAGGATTCAGTGTAACTCTCATTCTCATTGATTGCCAGAGGTCCACGGTTCATTCCCATAGGACATGGAAGCTGTGGCCTCTCCTTGGGCCTGCTCTAAAAAGGGAACAATACCAAATGAATTGTTTTTACTCTTGAGGATTCAGGCACAGATGTTCAGGAAAGACATGTATGTCCTATGACTGCAGAGGTGTTAACAGGCCACTCTACCTAGAATGGTCCCTTACAATATGTGCTAACTACTTATGCTAAAAAATCTGTACCACCTTGCATTTTGCTGTGAGATTGGGAGCACCTCTCCCAGACTGGAAGAAGAGCTCTATGTAAGCTTGAAACCTTCTCTCTCATCGACAGAAGTTGGTCCAATAAAAGATTTAAAAATTTTGTTAAAGCTAATGTTAAAAAAATTATATAACACATAGGTTGGGAAAAGAGCGTCTGTACATCTGGTTTTAGTGCTTAGATTATCCACAACTATAAAGTTAGTTTTTAAAAGTAATATGATACATAGTGTACATAGTCTGCAATAACCCAAATTTAGGTGAACAGATTTAACAGTACAGTTTAGATATTAGAATCCAAATATTCGGGTACATCACTCATGAAAGGTTGTACAGAGATTTGGTTGTGGAAAGCAAAATATATCAATGACTGGAGATTGTCCCTCAGTAATTGAGAATTAGGTTGGTTGTCCATTTAGAAAATACAATCTATGAGGAAAGTATTTGTTACTTTCCTGACTGCACTTCTCATTGGCACTCAGCTCATCCCTCCTGGTATTGCCGACGTCCTGTGATGTGTTCTATGTAGATGTCCCTCAACCACCTGATGGCGTCCAACACCATGAGTTGCTGCATCAGCTGAGCGAAGCGTTGACTGATTCTGCATTCTCTCAGCACTTGCTCATTACTGGGCGATCAGTGAGTGTGTCTGGACCTGGTAATCCTTAGCTCTCAAGGTTGCTTCAATTACTTCAGTTGTAGCTACTTGTGGCTCCTTTCAAAAGCCAACTTTCAACATTATAACTCTT